CCCCCCCCCCCCCCCCCCCACACCGGCTCCGAGCCGAGGGGCGAGCGGCTCGCCGCTCTGCCCCCCCTGCTTGCCACTCGCCTTCCAAATGGCGGCGGCGGCCTCCGCAAAGCGTTCCGTGCGCATGCGCACGGACACTGTGACACTTTCGGTGGATTTAAATATCCCCCCGATATATTTTTTTAGTTTTTAGATTTTTGTGCACCCCTGGGGACTGCCCCAAGAGTGCACAAAACTCTCCCTGCCCCCCAGGTCGCCCCGGAGCGCGGATTTAGCGATCCGCACAGACAAGGCAACTTGGGTATTAGATATATAGATTATTATTTTTAATTTTTTTGTAAGCTGCTTTGAGCCATTTTTTGAGGACAAAGGTGAGGCAGAAATGTACTAAATAAATAAATGAATGAAGGTACTGTAAAAATGAGTTTGCACTACTGAGAAACCATACAATGGAGGAATACAGGAAAACACCTGAGTCAGTGGAGTAAGACCTGCAGCTGAGGATTTGCCCATTTCTCCAGCTCTCGGGAGCTAGAGTGGACCAAAGACATGATCCATTGATGTGAGCCAAAAATGTTTTGGCCTTTGGCTCTTAGGCTGTGGCACATTGCCTGTGGCCTTGTTAGCCTGCAGCTGTTTGCCTCTGCTGTCCTGAACCATGAAGCAAACTTATCCTGGACTTGGCTGAGAACTGCACCCGACTGCTTTAGACTGCTGAGGGCAGAGGCACTAATCCACAGAAGTTGTGTGAATGTTGGCCCAGGACCCTGCATTGGCCTGGAAATCCAGGGTAGGATGGCCTAAAACATTAGCTCTAAGGAATACCATCCCTCTAGCATACCCATTCAATCTATATGGGACTTCAGTCTTAGCTGGAACATTTGCCAGATGAGTACTTGGTTGTCTCAATAAGGGTTACAAAATGAGTAGAAGGTGATTTGCTCTGCAAATTGCAGCAATTTGTATGTTTAAAAATTTTCTGCTGAGGAAATTTCCGTTTAGCTGGCCTAATTACTGGGGGACTACTTTGGGGGAGCTGAGGGGGAGAAATCCTCTCTGAGATGGTTATGGGCAGAATGCTGCTCAGAATAGGGAGATATGGCAGTGGTTAGAGTAGTACGTCTGTGCGTGATAAGGCTATAAAGTTGTACCTCCACTTTGACCCTCACTTCTAGTTAATGAATTTGAGCTGAATCAACATAAACACAAGCAACTCCAAAGCAATTCTGGTATGAACTGAACATGTTTGGTATAAGAGACAAATGCTAGCTCATCAACATGTGGACTTGCTAGAAGAGCAGATCTCACCGTTAGAATTGAAGGAAACAATAAAAGGTCTTAAAAACAACAAGGTAACTGGCCCTGACGGTCTTCCCTCTGAATTTTACAAAACCTTTCAAGAACCACTGCTTGACCATCTCCTCAAGGTCTGTAACGGAGTTCTGCTACAGGGTGTCTTGCCGAGATCTTGGGCCGAATCAATTATAACAGTGATCCACAAAGAAAATAAAGATCCCACCTCCCCTTCCTCCTACAGACCAATCGCGTTACTGAACCACGATAACAAAATATTCACCACAATCTTGGCCAATAGGCTGAAAACTTTCATCTCTAATTACATTAATCCTGACCAGACGGGCTTCATCCCGGGTCGACAAATAACTGACAACATCCGTAGAACGCTGGAGATCATTATCCATAGGAAAAAAATTCAGGAAGAGGCCTTAATACTTGCGTTGGACTTTGAAAAGGCGTTCGACTCGGTGGAGCCCCTGTATATAGTATCCCTTTTTAAAAAGATGGGCTTTGGCGGCAACTTTGTAAGGGCCATCCAGGCAATATACTCAAGTAACACTGCCAGGATCAGGGTAAATGGGACATGCTCATCATCATTCAACCTTACAAGGGGTACACGACAGGGCTGCCCCCTGTCTCCATTGATTTTTGCCATCGCAATAGAGCCGCTGGCGGAAAGGCTCCGGCGGGCGGAGGGATTTAATGGCATAACCATCAATGGGCTTGAACATAAAACAAGTCTGTATGCCGATGACCTGACACTATATGTCTCCAACCCATCCAGATCGATCCACTCTATCCTCTCTATGTTGCGAAGGTTTGGCGAAGTTTCAGGGTTGCGAATAAACGTGAACAAGTCAGAGGTATACCCTATTCGTATCAACGACAGGACAGCGGACTCACTCCGACAGTTATGCTCGTGTGAATGGGTGCAGGGATCCTGGAGGCACCTAGGTGTGAGGATTCTGAGGAACCGAAAGGACCTATTCAAGATTAACT